ATTTTGGTCAATGACATGAAACAAAGTATATGTGAACTGCTGTATGAAAAGTGAATTTACTCTGTAAATCTTCACCCAAATAAAAAAAAAAAAAATGCTCCTTAAAAGTGAGGATGGTGACACTTTGGTAATGTGCTTTGGATACATGATCAAGAGGGCCAATCCCTGGAGAAGGATACCATGGTTGGCAAAGTAGAGAGAGGGTCATCAAAAAGGAGGAAGGCTCTCAGCAAGAGGGAGTGACAGCTGCAACAAATCAGCTTGGACAGCAGTGATTGTGAAGATGTGGCCAGGACTGGGCAGTGTTTTGTTCTGTTGTACATAGGGTCACTGTGAGTCAACAGCACTGAACAACAGCAGCATAGTCATTCTGTGAATATTTTCAATATTACTCCTCTATCAATTTTTTTCACTTTAGTTATATATTTAAATTATGTAAAATAGAGACATTACTATCTCTTATAATAATATCTGCTTAATGAATTATTTAATAAGTTTGCTCTGAATATGCTCTGCTCTTTTAGTCATGGAAAGAAAGCTTTTAATAAGTGTTCTGTAATACTCTGTACATACTAGATTTATGAATGAGGATTAGAAAGGATTTTTGTTAAAAAATTTTCAGAAGAAGTTTTCAGAAAACATATTAACCATGGATTTTTAGAGAAGAGCATAGGAAAGGGCAGAAATCAAAGTACTAGAGAACATTAAAATCACTGTGTGTATTTAGGGTATTGTAATCATGTGTAATGGAGTCAGTCCCTGGATGGCGCAAATGGTTAAACTCTTGTCCGTTAACCAAAAAATTGGAGGTTGGAGTCCACCAAACTTCCATGGAAGAAAGGCTTGGTGAAAAATCAGCCATTGAAAACCCTGTGGAGCACAGTTGTACTTTGACACACATGGAGTTGCCATGAGTTGGAATTACTTGACAGCAACTGTTTTCTTTGTTTGTTTGATGTTTTCAATCATGTATAACAGGTCCTTCACTGGGGAAGGACCACTGAGGGGTAAGTTTAATATCACAGTGACAGAAAATGCAGATTCTGACTTAAACTTTTCCTTCTTTGGCACCCTTGACTTTCTGGGCCCCATCATATTCCTAGAAACATGAAGAAACTTGGATGCTTACAATTGAAAACCTTGGGTAACTTTTATTATATCTTTTCAATATGACATGGCTAAGGGATCTGGAATACTTCGTTTCAGCTCTTTTCATTTTTCCTGTCTGCTTTGCAAAAAGCAATGCTCCCACTCTGCCATTGTTTCATTCTCCTTTCCCTTTCTAACCTGTATGTCTCCCCCACTTCCCAACACCAGTGTGGTTATATTATAAACACTTCTTGCTACAGTCATTGGCCCATTGGCTTCTGTCATCTGGTCAGAGGTTTAGACCCTTTCCATCTCCAGTTATTGCAGCAGCTACTGCTTTTACTCTCTTGGTGTCCAAATGAACTGCATGGTTTTCCCTCCTTCAGAGTGGCTGATCACCATGACCTGAGTCTGGGGCAAAGCAGCTTTACATACAGACGAGTCATCTTCAGCTGGTCTGCATCACAGCTCTGCTGTAAGCTGTGTCCTAAGGTCATTGGTGATAGGCCCATGCACCTGTCTCAGTTGAGGTCATTTTCTTCTCAGTATTTTATTTGGACTCTTGTTTCATACCAGTTTGCATCTAGCTGGCTTTACTCCGGACACCAGGAAGAATCCTCATACCCCATCTTGGAAGCATGTGCCTCCTTTGATCTCCTAAAGAAGTGGATGCACTTCCCTTTCCACAAGCACCCAACAGCTTTCTTCAGTTAATCAGACTAAGCCCAGAGTGATGTGTAAACCAGAGGGCTAGTTTTGAAATTTACAAAACTGAGTGGTCATTTAAATTCCAAAAATAAACTCACTGAAACCAAACCCACTGCCATCAATTTGATTCCAACTCACAGCAACCTTCAAACCCAAACCAAACTCACTGCCATTGAGTTGATTCCAACTCATTGCAACCCCCACTGGGTTTCCAAGGCTGTAAATCTTTATGGAAGCAGACTGCCCCATCTTTCTTCCACAGAGAAGCTGGTGTGTTTGAACCATTGATCTTTTGGTTAGCAGCCAACTGCCTTAACCTCTGCACCACCGAAAGTCTTGTGTATCCCTTTCCAGTTATTGCTGCTGCTCCCAGTTTAGCAGTGATTAGCATTTGATGTGAAAACAACCTAGACTTCTTTTGATGTTTTTTAAAATGAGTTTTGAAACATAATGTATGTATACTAAATTGTATTTAGAATAGTATAAATTTGGAGGCCTTGTATGAGCAAAGAAGTTGAGGCCACATCACTTACTCTCTACTGGTTTAGGAATACAGTGTACAGAAAGAAGGCAGTCTGACAGACTGAGTGCTGTCATACTGAATGCACTCTGATGCTGAGAAAGCTCTTACACCATAGGCCTACCTGTTTTAGCTCCAGCTGACTGTTGCTGAGAGCTAGAACAGAGACTTGCCAGGGTCTCCTTGGGTCGGATCAGAAAGAGAAAACACCAGAGCAAGGTGTTCACAACACACGAACAACAAACGGCTGAGAACAAAAGGATCCTTTATGATAAAATCTGTGAAGAGTTGGTCAAGAACCGTTTCCTTCACATTACCAGAGCCAAGACTAAGCCTCACACAGGTATCCATCCTTTTAGCCTAATTAAGTTATTGAGTAACCTGGAAAACTCATGTTTTAGTTCTGGCCTAATATGTTAACGATTGAAGTAAGAGCACTTTTACTTTATTTTTCAGCCTGTCCACCCATCTATCCACCCATAGATCAATGTTTGCCATCACTGACAATGCAGTATATTGCAAAAGGGTTCATCTTTGTTATCTGTACCTCCCATGCACCTTTCTCTGTCTTCCTCTTCCTCATTGCCTCCATGTTGATCACTCACATTTGATACATTGCCCTTTCCATCACCCAAATCAATACTTGTCTCTATCTATCTAGCAATGTTCCTTCCCCTCCTCTCCTACCCCTGGTGACCAACAAAGAAAGTTTCCTTTCATATAGAAATCTTTACTTGACTTTTCACAAGGGCAGACTAATACAATATTTGTCTTTCTGTGACTGACTTATTTCAGTCAGCATAATTAAGTAAGAGAATTTTTAAAGAAATTATTATCCTTTTCCTCCAGGTTATTTGTTGGCATTGTTTTGGTATCTATGTCTAGCCTTAACATTAGTTCATGAGTAATTTTTAAATGTCTATGTTTCTGGTTTTTAATAATCCACCACCCTATTTAGATTGATAGGGAATTTAAAGTCCAGAAAGCCTTGTATTCAAGTGGATTCCCTGTTCCCAAGCCTTTACTATACTGCAGTGATGCTTCTATTATTGGAACAGAATTTTATGTGATGGAACATGTGCAGGTAAGTTAACATTTAATTTTATTTTGTTATGGCTTTCTAATCATGAAGTTAGATGTTGCTAAATAATAGAATTGCTTATTCACCATTTTAGGTAATTTGACTGCTTTGCAAAGTTTAAACTTTTGTTTTAATTTCAACACACAATATGGAAGGGATGGAATAGAGTAGGAACACATTTAGTAAGTAGGGCAAATTGACTTATTCTTGAATTTTCCTCTAGGTGTCAGGAAAGAGCCATATGTAATGGCAGTAAACCAAACTTGGTGGGGGGGGGGGCAGGCTGGGGATAGGGAAGAAGGGAGTGAGCGTCTCCAAGTAGAAAATCAAATAATCAAGCTATTCTTATTTTTTACTTTTTGTAAAACAAAACTTGAGGGTAGTTCTGGGTAAGTTAGTTCATCATGGCTTATTCTTGTAATTTCTTTCGGAACATGTTCTCTTATATTAAATATGTTTTACAAATGAATATTTTCAACCATATTCTATCAATAAATGTTTTTGGTTACAAAACTGTTTCGTGATTATTTCAGGCCTTGTAAGGAATAGGGATGATGATACAGCAATTACTCAATATGAAAAACAATTTTTAAAAATGATCTGTTATAATCTCTTTCATAGGGGAGAATATTTCGTGATTTCACTATTCCTGAAGTTAGCCCAGCAGAGCGCTCGGCCATATATGTGGCCGTGATTGAAACCTTGGCTCGATTACATTCCTTGAATGTCCAGTCATTGCAGCTGGAGCGATATGGCAGAGGAGCAGGGTACTGCAAAAGACAGGTAATACATCTGTTGTTGTTATTATGTGCTGTCGAGTCGGACCCGACTCATAGCGACACCTCCTTGGGTTTCCGAGGCGGTATCACTATGGAAGTAGATTGCCTACAGACAGGTAATACATCTACATCTTCTTTCCTGAAGTTGTTGGAAATAATATACTGTACCTCATTAGTCAAAAGACAGATCTGTTATTTTATAGTTCTCTGAAGCATTGGCTATGATTTTTAATATCAACCTTCATTTTATTGTTGTTGTTGTTTTGTGCCATTGAGTCGGCCCGACGACCACTCCTTGGGTTTCCAAGGCAGTATCACTACAGAAGTAGGATTGCCCAACCTTCCTTCCGAGGAGTGGCTGGTGGGTTTGAACTGCCAGCGTACTGGTTAGCAGTCAAGTGCCTTAGGCACTATGCTACCAGAGCTCCATAAAATAATTTATTTTTTTGCAGATCAGGGTTTTGTTCAGAAACAAGCTTCTATTATTGACAACATGTACATGAAATGCAAATTGAAAGCTGTTTTACACTCTTTACTTAGATTTTACCACTATGTTTTTTATACCATTTCCCTTTTTAAGTTAGGTTAACAAATACTTATTACAAATGACTGAGTGTTTAATATCTGCTGAGTACTGTATAAAATATCAAGAAAATAGAAGATAAGTCTCTCTCCTAAAGAAACATATGGTTACTTTTGAGAGACCTATCCATGAATTTCAAATACATAAAAGAGCTTGAAAATGGTATGAATGAACATTTAATCCAGTGTTTAATTTCTTGGTATTCATCTTGAGAGGTGTATCATTCAGAGAATGGAGACTGGTGTGCCTTGGCGTAGGTGAGGAAGGCTTCCTGGAGGAAATATATCTTGATTCATCCATATGGTAACATGTATTAGAACTTCATTCTTTTTTATGGCTGAAAAATATTCCATGATGTGTGTATAATTTTGCTTATCCATTTATCTGTTGATGGACATTTGGGTTGTTTCCACTTTTTTGTGTATTGTGAATAATAAACAATAAATATTGGTGTACAAGTGAAAAAAATAAATATTTCTTGCCATGAGTATTTAAGGAAGAGTAAAATTTAGAGTGATGAGAAAGAGATGTTAAGCATTTCAAATCAAAGGAATAGCAAGAGCAGATACATTGTTGTTGTTATGTGCCGTGGCGGCCCCTCCTTGGGTTTCTGAGGCAGTATCACTACGGAAGTAGATTGCCCAACCTTCCTTCCGAGGAGTGGCTGATGGGTTTGAACCACCAGCCTTCTGGTTAGCAGGCAAGTGCCTTAGGCACTACCAGAGCTCCTTAAATATGCTATAGAATACCAGAACAAACAAATCTGTCTTGGGAGAACCACAGCCAAAATGCTC